TCTCCTGAATGGCCTCAGGTTCATTTCTTAGCTCCAAGATCTCCAATGGTCCTTCATCTTCAATTCCTCCTAGATGTGACATTCTTACACTTCCAAACTTCTGGAATAGGGCTAGGAGTCCTGTTTGTCTCTCCAACTTTTTTCCTCATTTTTCTTTCAAATTAGAGCCATTCTAGGCATATTTCAATATCTCTGGCAACCTAAAGTATGGAGTAGCATTTCTGAAGGCTGGGCAATCAGCTTGCACTTTGAACACAGAAAGCAATGCAGAAAAAGAAACGTTGCCTTCTCCACGCAAATCACCACATTTGCCTACTCTCCAAATTTACTGGAGAGTTTCAGCTTTTATCTTCTACACCAACTTTGATGATTATAATGCCACTTGTCAGCACCTTCTCATAAACCCTGAGATACTCTTCAATATCTCCAATACATCTTTGGTCACTCACCTCTTGGTTCCTTCAGATTCTCATTTCTGGATGCTATTTTTCTCATCATGTCTTACTAATTCCCTTTTACTTACTGTTTCCTACTTACCTGACTGTCTTCCTGCTTCTCCATGAATCCTCCTGCACTGTGTTCTCCTTTCCTTGACCTCTTGTTTCCACTTCAGTTCAATCAGTTTTTTCTTCCCCTCTTCTCATCTGAGATGGTCTCCAATGGATTCTGTATCTATCTTCTTTGTACATGGTTGCTTCCATGTTTCTTTCTGTCAGCTCCTTGAGGGCTGGAACTGTTTGGGTTTTATTTGTATCCCCAGCACTTAGTGCTGGCTTATTACAGGTGCTTAGTAACTCTGTGTTGGCCTGCTTTGACTTGACTCTCCATGTTTTCTTATTCTTCAGTCTTTTTTCTACTTCTACTCTTCTTTCCATTCCTGCCATTCCACTTCACATCCCTCCCTTTAATCCTTCACCTCCATTAACTCATGTCACTTCCTTTCAAGTTGTCCTTGTAGCTTCCCTAGACTCAGCCTTTGACCTTCTTCACAGGTGCAGAGCTCTTGAAAGCACCATAACAATTGGCTTCTCTTATTCAGTGCACATCCTATTGCTTCTCTAGTCCTTTCTGCCATGAAACCTTCTTCTTCAGAAACCAGAGCTTCCTTTGCTTAGGACGTATTGCTTGTTTCTTTTTTATTTTTTATTTTCTTTTTAATTTATGGGATAAAACAAGAATTTCCATAACATAGTACAATAAAAAAGATGATTGTACATGAAACTGCAAATCTACTATGCACAACTTGCTATTCCTTTCAAATATACAACAAAATTATTACATAAATTTCTTTTTTTTTCTTTTTTTCTTCCCTCCTCCCCACCCTGGGGATGGCTACCATTAGACATTAGTAGGCGTAGTTGTACATGTATGCATATACGTATGCGTATGTGTATATATATACATATATGTATGTATGTGTGTGTGTGTGTAAAATTATTCTATGTATACTTCTATTTATCAGTTCTTTCTCTGGAGGCAGATAGCATCTTTCTTCATATGTCCTTGAGAGTTAATTTGGGTATTTATAATAGACAAAATAACTTATTCACTCAAAGTTGTTCTTAAAACAGTATTGTTGTTACTGTGTACAATGTTCTCTTGGTTCTGCTCATTTTGCTCTTCATTATTTCATGCAAGTCTTTCCATGTCTGTCTAACATCATAAAGCTCATCATTTCTTATAGCGCAATAATATTCCATCACAATCATATACCACAATTTATTCAGCCATTCTCCAGTTGATGGGCATCCCCTCAATTTCCAGGTCTTTGCCACCACAAAGAGAGCTGCTATAAATATTTTAGAACGTAGAAGTTCTTCTCCTTTTTCCTTAATCATCTTTGGAAATACACATAATGGTGGTATTGCTGGGTCAAAGGATATAGGTAATTTAATAACTCTTTGGGCATAATTCCAGATTCCTCTCCAAAATGGTTAGATCAGTTCACGGTTCCATCAACAACGAATCAGTGTCCCAATTTTTCCACATCTTTTCTAACATTTGTCCCTTTCCCTTTCTACCATTTTAGCCAGTCTAGTAGGTGTAAAATATCTCAAGGTTGTTTTAATTTTCATTTCTCTAATCAATAATAATTTAGAGCATTTTTTCATATGACTATAAATTGTTTTGATCTCTTCATCAGAAAATTCCTGTTCATATCCTTTGACCGTTTATCAATTGGGAAAAATCTTATAGATTTGACGAAGTTCTTTGTATAATTTAGATATGAGACCTTTATCTGATAAACTGCCTATAAAATTTCCCCCCAATTTTCTCCTTTTCTTCTAATCTTGGCTATATTTGTTTTATTTGTATAAAACCTTTTTAATTTAATATAATCAAAATTATCCATTTTACACCTAATTCTGCTCTCTGTCTCTTGTTTATTCATAAATTGTTCACCTATCCAAAATTCTGATAAATGATATGTTCCAAGTTCTTCTAATTTTCTTGTAAAAAATCTCTACATTTTTTACTTCATCTCAGTAAATGGTGTGAGATGACATGCTGCTTTCCAGTTTTTCCAACAGTTTTTTTTTTTACCAAATAATGAATTCTTATTCAAAATCTGAAGTCTTTGCGTTTGTCAAGTACAAGGTTATTATGGTTATTTGTTTCTGCAAATTGTTTGTCTATTCTATTCCATTTATCTACCTTTCTATTTCTTCACCAGTAGCAGATAGTTTTGATAATTACTGCCTTATAATATAGTTTAAGAACTGGTACTACTAAACCTCCTTCCTTCACATATTTTTTTTTCATTATTTCCTTTGATATTTTTTACTTTTTGTTCTTCCAAATGAATTTTATTTTTTTCTAATTCAGTGAATTTTTTTTGCTAATTTAATTGGGATGGCATTGAATATATAAATTACTTCGGGTAAAATTGTATCAGCCTTGCTTACCCATGAACAATTACTATTTCTCCAATTACTTAAATCTGATTGTATTTGTATGAAAAGGGTTTTTTTTAATGATTTTGTTTATATAGTTCCTGGGTTTGTTTTGGCAGGTGTATTCCCAGGTAATTTCTACTATCTAGAGTTATTTTAAATGGAGTATTTTTTACTATCTCTTCTTGGAGAGTTTTGTTTGTGATATATAGAAATGCCGGTGATTTATGTGGATTTATTTTATATCCTGCTACTTTGCTAAAATTATTAATTGTTTCAACTAGCTTTTTAGTTGAATATTTGGGATTTTCCAAGAATATTATATCATCTGCACAAAGAGATAGTTTTATCACTTCACTCCCTATTGTGATTCCTTCAATTTCTTTTTCTTCTCTTATTTTTTTCTTATTTTTTTCTTTTTAGGCAAGTGGGGTTAAGTGACTTGCCCAGGGTCACACAGCTAGTACATGTCAAATGTTTGGTCTGAGGCTGGATTTGAACTCAGGTACTCCTGACTTCAGGGCCGGTGCTCTATCCACTGAGCCACCTAGCTGCCCCTTTTTCTTCTCTTATTGTTATTGCTATAACAATTGCTTGTTCACCATTTCTAGTCTGTTCTTTCAAAAAGGAAAATAATTGTACTTAATATAGTAAAGGGTATCAGATACATTCTTCCCTCACATCCCCACATTCACTCTCTGCAGCTGTGCTGTCCATTCTTTGAACTTCCCCTTCCATTCAACACAGCTCTAAGAAGCCTTTTTCTGTCATCCCTCAGCATTTATCTCCAGCTTCTGCTCATGAAAGGCTGGAGAATTCCTGGAACTCTTCTCACAGGATCTTGCCTCTCTTCCTTAGTCACTCTCAGCAATTATCTGTTCTTACTTCCATTTTCTATATTGGTTCTTGAAAAAATTGAATCTTTGTTTTAACACATTTCATATTTTGTAAATTGCATTTCAAAAAACATCATATTGAGGTATTAGTGGGGTTTTGGGGACTTTAAGAGAATAGTTTATTAGAATTATGTTGATGAAGGCCACATTATTGCAAAGGGTTGAGGAAGTGGAACCATTCATTGTCCCTTACTCTTGCCAAAATGAATGCCTTCATGATTCTCCCTGACTCTTATGCAGATTTCCATGTGCATGTGTGCATGCGTGCATTCATATTTATAAATGAGAACAATTCCCATCCAAAATACAAGAAAATAGTAGAAAGCTAATGCTTCATTATGGTCTGAACATTGCCCTTGGTTTTCACAGAATACCTGAATAGATCCCAAGCACAAGTGTATTGACTTAAAAAGCTTTAAGCATATGCCCGATAATTGGATCTGTAGAACTAATGTTTCCTAATGACAAACATAGCCAAGTTCAAGGAGAACCAATCCCCATTTGGCAGAGGGGAGTTGAATTTTTCTGTCCCAACAAGGCTTGCCTACCATCTGCCAAGGTGTAATGGGTTTATGATTTCCATCAGTACAGACAAAAACAACACTTACAAAATTATGGGTTCTTGAATTCCCAAAGCACAAAGTTAATTCCTGCTCTGTTTCTGGATTTTACCCAGGGCTATATGTTCTTAAATTACATAGAGCCCTGAGAACTCAGAGCCAAGGGAAGCTTTACCAGAAGGTAAATGACCATTCTCTTAGAAATACAAGAGTGGACATGTTGGGTTCCTCAGAGCTACCCCCCAGGTTCACCTTTCCATAACCAGGAGACGTGGTCCCAGAATTTGTCACGTGGGATATGATGGATCTGGGAAGCCTACACATGAAAGCATGAGAGAGGAAGGTGGTATTTATGCTCCTGAATATGCATATGTATGGGAGTGTTGGTTGCAAAAGGAAATCCTGCTTCAATGCATGGCTCTCTGTGCATGAGGCTATTGTGTGTGCTCACTTAGAATATGGTAAAGATACATTTGTCTATCAGCTTTCACTGAATCGCAAGCTTCCAGCACCAATTTCACAGGTGGATTATAGAACTCATGTTTTCTGGGAAATAAGTGGTATTTATTGTGTCCTTATATCTTCTCTAAGGTCATCCTGGCTCTGCCAACAATTCTCCCTAAAATTCCAAGAGCATCCCTCTACGTAACATGGTCCTGGGAATAACCTTCCTTTCCCTGACTGGAGTTGGGGTCCTTGGCAGCTCCTTCTTCCTCTCCCTTTGTGGCTCCACTTTGTTCACCAGCCACAAGTTGAGACCAATGGACCCCATTATGGTTCAACTTGCTCTGATCAATGCCATAGTTCTTCTTACCAGAGGAATCCCAGTAGCAATATTATATTTAAGGACAAAATATTTCTTTGGAGATACTGTATGCAAAATTCTATTTTACATCCAAAGGGTCAGCCGGAGCCTTTCCATTTGTATCACCTGTCTCCTGAGTACCTTTCAGGCAATTATCATCAGTCCCAGTGGCTCTAGGTTGGCCAAACTCAAAGTTAGAGCCCCAAAGTACATCAGCCCCTCCTATCTTCTATGCTGGATCCTCAACCTGCTCACAGACATTAACGTTCCAATATCTATAAGCGGCCCAAATAATAGCAACAGCAGCCACACACATGGAGTTAAACTTCTGTATTGCTACTGGGAAAACACATATAAAGGGATTATCATCCTGCCATCCCTTCGAGACATTTTATTCATGGGATGCATGGTATGGGCCAGTAGCTACATGGTGCTTCTCCTATACAGACACCATCAGAAGGTCCAACACGTTCGCAGAACCAGCCTCTCTCCAAGGATCTCTCCAGAGATGAAGATTACAAGGACTATCCTGCTGCTGGTTGGCACCTTTATTTCAACTTTCTCTGTCAGTTGGAGCCTCACCCTCTATAAAGTATACATGATTCATTCCACTGTTGAATTGGTGAATGTGGAATCAATCATCATATTGAGTTTCCCAACTATCAGTCCCTTTCTACTGATTCACAGAGATTTGCAAATGCCCAAGTTCTGCTAAGCTCCCAGAAGGATGCCAAGTCCTCATTCTCAGAATAATTGTCATCATGTATAGGTCATCTCACTGATTGCTCTTTACTGTCAGGATCTTTTGCATTTTATCTTAGGCGACTGAGTATCCAGAGATGGAATTGACCAGGTTATACCCTTGTGAACTTGTAAAGGTTGGAAAAATCATTAGAGGTCCTACAGACAACTAGAGTCAGTATGAATGCCTGATCATGGTGAAAGCACTTAGGTTGATGAGGAAGATGGATGTGGAAAAGCAGTCAGCAACTTCAGAGATAGTGCCACCTTATGATGAAGAGCAGCACCAGCTATGGCCTCTGTCTAGAAAGACACAACCCTCGGTGTTAAGAAGAGAGCTACATTTAAGGGAAATGTTGTAGGGATTCTACAAAGGAAGAACATTTTTTCCATGGCCAGGAGTGGAGAAGCATCCCTTTGTCACCCATGTCCTCTACAGGACAGCCTTACACACATTGTACATAAAGTTTAAGCCCAGAATCCCCAGACATTATGTGCAACAGGAGGGTGAGTAAACCCAGTTTGGAACGAATGTTTTTGCAACTTATTCTACCTTCTCAGTAAATTCCTTTCCAAAAAGTTAGTAGAATTCTGTTGGTTGATTGATAATGGTGATCCCACAGATCAGGGTTCAGGAGCAATAATAGTTGAAATATCAGTTCACACACCCGGGGGTCCCCTAGAATGATGCAAGAAGTAGGCAGCTACCCACTGTATCAGCACCAGATGCAAGAGTGGGAACTGAAGCCTGGGTGAGAGCCTTCCCAGAGAGACTGAATGAACAGGCTCATGGATGTGGAAGCACCAGTGCTGGAGCCAGAGGGGTTTCCAGGCAGGTGATGGTAACATTGAACTGCAGATAGGCATCTCTCTAACAAGATTCCATTTCCTCTGGCAGAGGGCAAGGAGAAATTGGTGAAAGGTTATTGACAGAGTTAAGAGCAGAGTGGGAACCTTTCTTGGGACAGTAGGGATCTCTGATAGAACCCAGAGCCTCCCTATTCATTGTCTATTAGAGATAAATGGAAAAGGTTGGGGGGGGTGAGGGTGGTTCCTCAGCATATTGATATTCATTGGTTACTGGATAAGAAGCTTACATTTAGATAGCCAACAGTCAAAATTAAGTTTATAGATCCAGATACAGTGGGATCCTTCACATTCTGCCACTCTGCCACTGGAACTGCAGCATGGAATGCCCTTCTCTGGCTTCCCCTTTGGACTGTGGGCAATTTTGTATATTTGCTTAGTCTGGCTCAAATGATGTCAGATGGTGAAGAGCTCAAGAGCCAATATTCAGCTCAGGCCATCTTTGCCTCTTTGATTGCCATAGATAGAAAAACTCATAACCAAGTGGCCAATGGTAATAAGCATCTCCACTCTTTACTGGGCTGGATCTCATTGAGAGACCATTGTCTGAGTGGCAGAGGGTTTCTCTGTGGATCAAGATATCCTGCAGACGCTCCAATACAGGAATAACATCGTGTTGGTTGAATCAAGCCATGGATCATTTGAAAGCTTCCTGGAAGAAATCCAGAATCACTCAAAAAGGTATTGACCCTCTCCAACCACGCACATAAGAAATACTAAGTGAATGAAGAATGTCTATTGCCCAGATTTCAACATGCATCAGAACAGAAAACCTGCAAGGCCTGACCATTAGCACGTCTATCTCGGAGAGATAGTACAGATGAATGAGCTGATCCCATAGTTGAACAAAAGAAAGAGAGTGGGCAGGATTGCGTACCTAGAAACTGTAAATATACTTTAATGACCCACCATATTCACATGAAAACAAAGGCCTATTATTTTAATAGCAACATTTCACCATTGTAATGGAGGTTTAATGCATGTCTAGACCATCTAATCTGAAGCCATCCACATGAAAGATGGTGATGTCCAAGGAGAAGGGCAACTACAATGTATGAAACAAAGGATAGAGGCAGTTAGTAGCAGAAGACATCTGGGTGGTGCAGATGAGGAAGAGGGAAGAAGGACCTCTTGGCAAATGGCCCCATTTTTTTCAGTAAATTATGAGACATAGTTCTCAGCTACAAGGATTGGAGAAAGGAAGTCAAGGAAGGGTCTACAAGAAACTTTTCTTGATAGCACTTAATGCTATCACCTTCCTTCAGTTGCTTATCTCTAATTTATCTTGTCTTTAGTTTAAGTATAGTAGATATTTGCATGTTGTCTCCTCCATTAGACTATGAGCTACTTGAGGGTAGGGACTATCTTTTACTTTTCTTTGTAACTTGGCACAATTCCTGACATACAGTAGAAGCCTAATAAATACTTGACTGACTGACTGACTGTATTCTTTCATTGTTAGGAGGCCAACAATGAGTACTCAGAACACTTAACCACTTAACATCAGCTTTTACAAAGTTATATTTATTTAAAAGATATAGCCAGAACAAGGAAAACAAACAGTATCCCCTGAGACCTTGAGGACATCCTCTCCCCTACATCACCTCAGTCTCTGGGAGAGCAGGCTCATTACTTCACTCAGTTCCCACATTGCAATGTCAAGTTCACATCCAAAGGTAACATTGCCATTAGATAAGTCCTTGCTTCAGCCTTCACTGCCATGAGTCCAGAAAATTTCTCACAAAGATCACTGCTGTCTTCTCAGAGCATCAAGGCTAGGTTGTCTGTGACATCCAGCCTGGAACCCAGGCTCTGGAATGCAGGGATGCCCACATCATAGCTTTCCAAACTCACTAAGTCCTAAGTCCATTCTCTTCCCTTACAACAAAGAGGCCAAGGACCTGGGCCCAAATGGCCTCAGGAAAAGATGTTCCTAAAGCCCTTCTCCTTGAGGTGGGTCTCTCACTGGACACTGTGAGCTCACAGAATAGAGCCCAACAAGCAAATGAGGCAGAGAGAAAGTGACTGAAGTCAGCTTGTCAGGCCTTTGGAGAGAGTCAGTCCATTCCATTGGAGAGATTATTCTAGTAGTGAGTGACTGAAAGCAGTTGGGAAATGCATGCCCACAGTCTGCAGTCTCTCCTCAGGACATGGTCTTCTCAGAAGCCATCTATGGAAAGGCCTCCCCATGGAAGACTGCATCAGTGGAGCTAGCTGATGGGGGGCCCAGGCATGCACCATATCTCCATTTCAGAATGAGTGGAATGGCGGCAAAGAAACACAACCACTCAGCTCTCACTTGGCTTCTCTTCTTAATCAATGAACATTGATTAAACACCTATTGTGTACCAGCCAAGGCAGCTAGATGGCTCAGTGGATGAAGTACTGGGCCTGAAGTCAGGAACACCTGAGTTCAAATCTAGCCTCAGACACTTACTAGCTGTGTGACTCTGGCCAAGTCACTTAATCTCTGTTTGCCTTAATCCACCGGAGAAGGAAATGGCAAACCACTCCAGTATCTTTGCCAAGAAAACCTCATGGACAGTACTGACATGCTATGGTCCATGGGGTCATGGAGAGTCGTACACAATTGCATGACTGAACAACAACAATGTACCAGACACTGTGCTAAGCATTGTGGGTACAAAAAGAGTCAGAAGATAGTGCTTGGCTTTAAGGGGGACACAACATGCAAATAAATATACACAAAGCAAACTATGTGCAGGATAAACAGGAGACAATTAAGAGAGGGAAGGCACTGGGAGCAAGAGGAGTTATTGGGAAGGCCTCCTCTAGAAGGTGGGATTTAGTTGAGACTGAAAGGAAGCCATGATGGGTCAGAAGTTGGAGCAGAGGAGGGACAGCATTCCAGGCATGGGGGACAACCAGAGAAGAGATGGAGGGTCTTGTGTATGGAAGAGCCAGGAGGCCAGGGTCACTGGATTGAAGAGTAGAAGTTGGGAGCATAAAGTATAAGAAGAATGGAAAGGTAGGAGGGAATTAGGTCATAAAGGGTTTCAAAAGCCTAGCAAAGGACCTTGTATTTGAACCTAGAGGCAATAGGGAGCTGCTGGAGTTCACAGTGGGGTGATATGATCAGACTTGCATTTTAGGGAAATCATTTTTGTGGCTTATGGAGAATGAAGTGGAATGCTGTGGAGGGTAGAACAAAAGTGGCTTATGGAAGCAGAAACTCAAAAAGAATGAGACCTTATGATGATAGAGTCCCTGGACACCTTCAGTGAGCTTTACCGCATTCCACTTGAGCCCTTTTCTCTAAGGACCCAGGGTGATTCCTTCAGAGCCAACACCAGGAGATGCACACAACCTAGTGGTAGGCCACTGGGGAGAGGCCACAGAGACAATGATCATCCGGTGGTCCCAAGGATAGGTCTGAGCACTTCCTTGTTCTGTGGTCACACCAACATAAAGCCCCGGGGGCTCCTGGGCTCCCTAACCAATAGCTGGCCAAAACATTCATGGCTGTGTCCTGCAGACACTGCTCTGGGAGAAGAAGGGCTCATCTCTGGAGATGAGGAAAGGAGGCAGGCTCCATAGGAGGTGGCAGAAGGGATTCAGCTCAGAGCTGCCCCTTCTCCCCTCCATAGGCTCTCCTCACTTCTGCCTCTGAGAACCCCCAGCTTCCTTCTAAGTTCAGCCTGAGGACTCTCATGATTCCCCCCTCCATGCTATTGCCTTTGGCCTACCCTATTACCTTGCATTTCTCTACCTGTGTAAATGAGGTTTCTCCCATGCAATGTAAGCACTCATAAGTCAATATAAGCAGCTGGTCGAGTGGTTGAGCCGGTATGGTTCCAGCTCTGTTTCCCCTTCCTCCCTTCTCCCTAACTTCCTTGTGACTGCTGAGAACACCATCATCATCCCAGCCCCCCAGGCTCCCAATCTAGGAGTCACCCTTGACTCCCTACTCTCTCACCCTCTGTGTCCAATTTGTTGTCAAGTTCCAAAGATTTCACCTCGGCAGCATCTCTAGAATATGTCCCCTTCTCTCCTCTGCTCCTGTCTCCACCCTGGTCCAGGCCCTCATCACATCATGCCTTGATTACTGCAATAGCCTGCTGGTGGGTGTACCAGCTTCAATTCTCT